TTGCCTCTATAGGGAACTTGGAACCCAGATAAAATAAACCCTATTTAATCTTTGTATTAAATAGGGGAACTTGTTGGTCATATATAAAAGGTTCGCAGACTAAACGGATGTCACAAATCTCTTAGTTTGCTGGATTGGGTCTATCGCCGAGGTCTACACTTATCTTTCGGGTGGGTGTAGTATTCGCGGTATCAGACACGATTATGCAAACTATTGGACGAATGAGATCCATTTGGTCTCATTTTTCAAAAACTAAAACACACTACTTTCAAAACCCAAACTATATATCTTTTATATTTAAATTAAATCTCAAAAATTATTTTCATATATCATATTTTTCAAATAAATCTAATCAATCGAAAAAGTTTGACCGACAGTTATCAAGAGATGATCATTTGTAAGTTCCAGGATTATATAGAGTACTTGAGCGTGGTGTAATCTGTATGTCTTCTCATTTCATAGTGAATTTCTTGGCGTTGTGTGACTCCGTGGGTTTTTCTAATTTTTTTGTTTTTTCATGTTAAATTTTTGTTTTTAATTTTTTGGGTTTCTTGTTTGTACTCTTCTATTCAATTTTTTGCTTTGAATTGATGTTTTTATGCAATTTCGCGTAAGTGAATATCCTCCCAACAGAAATTATGTATGATATAACACCACTAATATTAAAAATAGTTGCAAAATCGCTAAGGAGTTTTCAAATATAATATGGATTATATACCGATTAACATCTGAGCTTATATTTTATATATCCTTATAAATGTTATTTTAAACGAGATGTCTTGAGGTATGTTTTTAATATATATGATAGTTCTAATTGCTGTGACGTCAATAGAGACAATAAAAAGTTTAAATAATGAAGAAAATTTAGAATTAGAATAAAAGCTTTAGTATATAATATGTAATTTTAGTGTGTGTAATAGTAATAATTATTTACTAACATTATTAGAAGATAAAGTTATGTTAATTATGATATATTCAAATATCTTAAATTTATCATACAAATGAATGTAGACTTGGTTTATATAATTTCTTGAATTAATACCGAGTCACTAAAATGGAGAAATGTCTCAAGGATATTGTATGATAATAGAATACCAAGATACAAGTATGCCGACTATGTTGAATTGACATGAGTATTGGGTAGTTAAAATAATTGATAGAAATTTGTGTGATTGAAATGTAAATGTTAAAATAGATGTATGATAATTTGGAGGGTTCAGTACGGGATTAGAAGAATTATTTGAGCAAGGTCTATTAAAGGTATTTGAAAATAGATTTAACTGATTTCAACATATATGATAAAGGATTGAAAATTCACATTTTAGATGGTTATTAAGCTAATATTGGAGGATTATGGAGGTTAACTTTTTTTAGAAATTGCTCTACTTAATATTCAAATGAATTGAAGATGTGGATTATAAAGCTCGCCTTAAATAATTAGGCAGATCTTTTAGGTATATTCTTATTTTTATTTTCTTCTGATGTTGTAGGAAGGTCTAAATGTGACTAAAGAACTAAGAGTGGAGCAGAGCTATGATGAAATAGAAGCTGCATTCATTCCTGGAGAGGAATTCAGCTTTGAGGCAATTATTGGCCTTCAACAAACGAGCAAAAGTTGATCCCGATAATTAAGAGTAAAGCTCTTATTCTCATACGTTAAAACATAACCACATTCGGACATTGTTTAATGAGATCAAATATGCAAATTCCTGTAAAGTTTCGTCCATCTTTTATGTTACAAAATGATCACATCTGAACTATTGGTGACCAGGTATGCAAGAAATTTAAGTTGTTGACTTGGAATTTTAAGCATGCCTGAATCTTTTATATGTATCAATGTTTGTATCGTTCAAAAAACCTGAATAGTCAATACATGGGAGGAAGTGTCCAATGATACTTCATGGATGCCTAGTCTAGAACTGTTTAACCTTGAATATGTTACATTTTTTTCAATAACTTGCTTTACTCAACATGGCCTAACCAATTCGAGCTTTTTTTTTGTGATGCCCAAAATTTATTTCATGATTTTTCGACAAAAGGTTTATGCTGGCTATCGATTTCTTGACACAACCCTCCATTTTTCGTATATGGCGTTTGGAGAAAAAGCTTACAATAAGATTTCAAGAGAAGTTCTTTGGAGAGTTCTAGAAAAGAAAGGTGTTGACATGACTTACATTCAAGTCATTAAAGGTATGTCTACTAGAGTTGTTACTTGTGCTCTAACAGAATATGATTGACCAAGTATTTTCCTATTTCAATTGGATTACATCAAGTATCGACTTTAAACACCTATCATTTTGCTTTAGCTATGGATGCTCTTATTGGACATATACGGGAGGATGTACCTTGGTGTATGTTTTTTGTTGATTACATTCAAGTCATTAAAGGTATGTCTACTAGAGTTGTTACTTGTGCTCTAACAGAATATGATTGACCAAGTATTTTCCTATTTCAATTGGATTACATCAAGTATCGACTTTAAACACCTATCATTTTGCTTTAGCTATGGATGCTCTTATTGGACATATACGGGAGGATGTACCTTGGTGTATGTTTTTTGTTGATTATATCCTTCTTGTGGATAAGACGAGGAGTTCAGGAAAAACTCAAATTTTGGAGGCCTACATTAAGGTCTAAAGCCTTCATTTGAGTAGATCTAAAATTGAAGAGGCCTACATTGGAGTCTAAAGCCTTCATTTGAGTAGATCTAAAATTGAATACATGGAATGTATTTTAGTAGTTGTAGCTCTAGTGGAAGAGTTGTAACTATGTATGATCAAATCATTAAAAAGTGTGAAGGTTTCAGATATCTCGGGTCTATTGTTCAAAGCAATTGTGATATAGATGGGGATGCTGTTATTAGAATTCAGGTTGGTTTGTTGAAGTGAAGAAATGCATCTGGTTTATTTTGTGATAGAAAAGTATTGCTTAGGCTTGAGGGAAAATTTTATAAGATTGTGGTGAGACCTGCAATGCTTTATGGCTCAGAATGTTGGATTTTAAAAGAGAAGTATAAAACAAATTTAAGTGACACTTAGAGACAAAATGCGAAATGTATCTATCCATGAAAGGGTTTGTGTAGCTCCAATTGTAGATAAGATTAGAGAGAGTCGTCTAGATGGTTTGGTCATGTTAAACGTCGGAGTAGATGTTTTAGATTCAACTTTTGATAAGAAAGATAGAAGTAGACCTAAAAAGACTTGGACATATTGTATAAAAAATGATCTTAATCTATTAGAATTAAATGAAAATATAAACTCAATAGGACACTATGAAGGAAAAAGGATTCATGAAGCTGACCACACTTAGTGGGATAAAGGCTTGTTGTTGTTGTTTTTGCCTTGTTTCATAAATTTCTAGCGATGTTTAATTCATTTAGTCTATTGCTGAAATTGTTACCCAAGCCTTTAAATTATCAATTTGGTTAGGTTGGGTTGGTTGCTTGGTTCATGCTCAGGTTTAGTGGGAATGCATGGGAGAAGTTTAGTGGCAGTGCGTGGGTGATGCTATTGCACTGTCTTTCTTGCTTGGCTCAAATTGGACTAAATCAATTCTGTTCAACTTAAGGCCAACTAGTTCTAGGCTATTTTAGGTAGCTTTTTCCCTATTTATCCATATTGGATTTAATTCAATTTGGTATGGATCAAACATGGTGATGCTAGATTAGATTTGGTTGTGTTAGATTAGGACTGATTGAAAAAAAAATGATGAAACCTAAGTAAACCACTAAAACATTTAGCCTTTCAATCTACTTTGAGATTCCAATCAATTGCTAATCATTATCTCGAAAACTATCTAACCTTCATGCCATCATGGAACTAATCCCACTACTTATTGATTCATGGGTAGATCAAATGTGTGCTCGTGCATAATTTTTATGATGGTGAGAAGGAAAGTGTTTGGACTATATAACAATTTGAACTACTTTCAATCCCTAGTTATCGTATACGATGAGTTGAGTGCCTTAACTTTTCATGTTTGTTTATATGTATTCTTATATGAGATTTTAGGCAAAAGGTAAAATTGATTCGAGCATTGAATGACATTGCCCTCTTTTTAAGCTTGTGCTTGTAAATGACAAAACGAACAAGATGATTATCTTTAGTCACATTATAAACATTTTTTTTTTTTTATATGCGATGTGCTATATTATTTTATATATGTCTTGTTGATCAGATTATCATAGAAGCTTGTACTTGATTTAGAAAGTCATAAGGCATAAATAAAGTTGGTATTCCCCAAGCTCAAAGTCATTCAAGGCCTCAAGTTATCCAAAAATGATAACTTGCAAATTTACCGAAGGACACATTCTATTCTCCCCTTAATATTCGTGAACTTGCCTAGGACTTTTGTGGTCTCTCACCTATCCATGCTATTCACTTAAATAACTCACAACCCAGAGACTTGGAGGTTTTTGCAAAACTAATCTCATTAGAAAAATTTACTATGAGTACTTGCCCTTATCTTAGACTCACAAAAAGCATTCGTTCTTTAAATATTTATCAACCAGAGTTACCTGTTACACATCTAACTACATTGCATATTATCATATATTTTTATTGTATTTTTACTATGTAGCTCTATCATACAATGTCCCTCACATATAAATTGGAGGGAGCAGTCAAGCCAAATGTTGGTTGTGAGAATAACTCAATCCTATATTTTTTACTCAAAATATTGCCTTTAGAACTCCTAACTAATTTCTCTATGTTAAGATTTGTATTCAATGTAGGGTTCTATTTATAAATAAAGTCTAAAAATTTACTTATAAATGTTGTAACTTGTAAGACTCTTTATAAGCCCATCAATAATGAAAGAAAAGAAGTTTTGTTTAGCAAAAACTTTTAGTTTGGGATCAGAGCCTTCATAGCGAGAGAAATATTTACGTACGGAGAACGCACACCGCTCTCTGTGCGTAATCCCCTCCCAATAACCGCTCAATAACCTTTGTGCGTAATCCCCTCCCAATAACCGCTCAATAACATTTGTGAAGATTATTGGGGGTTATTGCGGAGTATTTCGGCGTTATTTGGAGTCAATACCTTTTGCGGTTATATTTTCATATTCTGCTGTTATACTTTCACATTTTCTATGATATTAGGGTATTGACTCCAACGCCGAAATAACTTTGCAATAACCCCCAATAACCTTCACAGATGTTATTGAGGGATGACTAAGCACACAGAAAGGTGTGTGCTTTCTCTGTACATAAATATTTCTCTTATAGCGTGGGATTCAGGCAGTAGAGGGAAAAAAAATTGCGTATGTTTTTTAGGTTATACAGAGGGTATAAGGGGGATATATCTGCGTTATACCTCCTTGTAACCTTCATGTAACATTCTGTAACCTACAAATAAGTTTTGCGCTTCTGTTTTCATATATTAAGAACTTATTTGAAGGTTACAAATATGTTACAGATAGGTTACATTGAGGTTATAAGGGGGTATAACGTGGATATAACACCCTTATATCCTCTGTATAACCTCTAAAACGTACTTAGACGGGAAATTTTGGGACAGAAGTGGGAAGATTCTCGTGCAAGCACAGCAAGGCCGGTGAGACAGCAACCGGCAGGACGGAGAGAATAAGATCGCAGCTCTGTGTCGCGCGAGAGAAGACGAGGAAGACGCGGGATCTGCTGGATTTGCAAGGCAAGAAAAATGCGAGGTCGGCTGGATTCACGAAACAAGGAAGAAGCAACGTCATCTATGTAGCGATCCTACTGTCGGGTCTGTGCCGTGACCCTACTCTTGCTGCGAAACCAGAGAAGCGAGGTAGAACCGAGGCTGCCTCTAGCTTGTTCGAAGCAGCGACAAAGACAAAGACGAATACGGACGAACCTCCCGCACTTGCAGTAGAGATCAGATGAGCGTGGAGATCTATTGAATGTAACTTAAGGAGAACGAGCGTTTGACATTGCAGAACGGGTCAACGACGGGCGACGATGCTGAAAGCGAGTGCAAGCCTAACCGAGGGCAGCAAATGCCTACGAATGCGACGAAGCAAGCAGGAGTGGTTAGTGGAACTTTGTGGGTTTGAGCTATGGGCTAACTCGAGTCGGAGCGGAGCAATCGACTAACGTGATTGCAGCATACAGACATGAAGGATCAAAGCCACGCAATCTGTATGATCTGGACTTGGATTCTTGTGATTGAGGATGTTAGGAGATGGAAATAGTGTTAGAGATAAAGGATTGGAGCTTATGGGAAAACTAAATTATGAAGTTTTGAAGGAATTGGTCGAGCTCATGCAGGGAGCTAGTGTCTCGACGGGAGCCACTACCTAAACACGTGTTCCAGTTCAATCGAGTATACTTCCAGGAATGTGATCAGCTTTGGTTGTCTCGAGCTCAGGTAGGACATGTGCTTAGAGGGTGATCCGTAGGTGTTGCAACTGCATAGAAGTAAGACACATGAGCAATATTTGGACAAATCTACCCAAGGAGAGAGAGGTGGGTGGATGTGGACAGTCTAGCGGCCTTGGTCATAATTGTGGGGGCCAAAAGGTTAAAATAGGGGATTATCGGACAAGTCTGATGTTAGCGGAGAACGAGGGGGAGATGGGTGATCTTTACCAATGAGGATCATGAATTACTCGAGATGTTGAAGAGGAAGCAGATAGCGGTATGTTATGTCCGGATGAGCATGTAGATATTGAGGACTTTTGTGATTCTGATTGGACGAGTTGTGTTGATGACCGGATGCCCACATATGAATATTGCATGTTTGTCGGGGGCAACTTTGTCTCTTGAGAGAGTAAGAAACAGTCAATAGTAGTGAGATCAACAACAGAGGCAGAGAATAAAGCCATGGCCTTAGGAGTTGCCGAGATGATGTGGCGGAGAGCCTTGTTGGTAGAGCTCAAGGAGGACCAAGGAACTCAAATGAAATTGTGGTGCAATAACACGTCAACGATCAACATTGCCAACAACTTGGTGGAATATGATAGAACCAATCATGTAGATTTGATAGGTTCTTCATCAAGGAAA